AGTTTTCACCGCAATTGCTGGAATGACCACATTAGCATTAGGCCAATTGAACTGTTCACTGAAATACTCAGCCCAGCGCTCAATTCGTTGTTCTTTATTGTGGATGCTTTGTCCACTTTTATCGCAAATGGCCTCACTGACCGATATGCGATGACCTCCGGTGTTGCGTATCCGGTGAAATAACCTTTGACTGTTCCCTGATGCAGAAGCTACCTCCATTTCAATAGCTATTTTGGCCCACCAATTTTACGATCTTTCTCAAGGCTATTTCTGTGTTGACGGTGCAGGCGACACCGGTCCTTATACTGATCCTGGCAGATTGGGATCTTTCACTTTTGATCCACTAGGATTACTGACTCCTGAGAGATCCAATGCCTTCGGCGAGTTTCGGACTCAGTCTCACAAGCAAAGTTTACTGCTNACTGCTGAGTGTATCGCAAACCGAATCTGGTTCCACTGTTGGTCTACTCCACTATGCTGCGGTTCTCCTAGCTCCTGTCCCAGCTTCTCACAACGTGCACAGGCAGTTGGATCGCTCAGACAATGATGAGCTGATTGAGGAGGCGATTTCTGCCGATGATCAATGAGTCGAAGAGCAAAGCGTAACGGAACTAGTGCATGATCCGGCTCAACGCAGGCGAATCAATAGGATCTGCAATTTTGTACTGAACCACGCTAACACTAGCTTACAGCTATGTGGTCAATTTGGTTTAATGTGCCCGTTGAACTAGAACACGATGTAGCCGTTCGACGAGAACTGTGTCGAAAGTTGGTGGGCGAAGTGCCCTCCTAGACAAGCTTCGAGTGCGCTCAGTTTTCCAACCTGCGCGTTAAAATCACCTGCTAGCACTATAATGTCAGAGTTGCGGCTCAACCGAGTCAGTTCGGCGATTTTGTTGTAAAATTCGACATTTTGTGAAGCGGGACTGCAGTTGGTTGGTGCATACGCGGAAATAGTGAACAAACACCTTTTACTACCCTTCCGAACACTAACTGAACCTGGGGCCTCATGGCGCACAAACGACTATTGACGGGTATCCAATCTATCATAGAGGCTTCAGCTTTATCGTTTAGTACGATACCTACACCACGCTGATCCAGTGAGCGGGCTGCATCGTCTCCTGATGTGCGAAGGAAATATTTCGAGGANGGATCTTTCGCTTTTGATCCATTAGGATTACTGACTCCTGATAGATCCAATGTCTTGGGCGAACTTCGGGATCGGTTCCACAAGCAAAATGTGCCGCTGAGTGCATCGCAAACCCAATTTGATCCCAGTGTTGGTCTACTCCACCA